GTCCTCGTCTATAATATGATCGCAGCATATCTCTACTGACACACACAAACATGCGCGAAAGGTTATTGTTTTCACATCTTCCCTCGACGACGACAACTACAGCCAATTCAAGAAAAAAAAGTAGATGTATACATTAATATATATATATATATAAATGTATGTGTGTATTATCTTTCATCATACTGTTTATAAAAACTAAAGAGAACGATGGGTGACCATTATTGAAATCGTTAACAAATGAAAAAGTGTTACTATTGACCGGGGTTGAATAAGCAAGCGGTCAATCAACAGACAATTACTCAGATCACTGTTGTTTTATTCAGACGAGAAAAAAAAGAGAGAGAGAAAAAAAGAGGGACGATTTTAGATTCAGCTCGACAAATCATCAACATCATCAACGACAGCAGCATCTTCCTCTCTCTCCCTCTCTCTCTCTCTCTTTTGCTTCACAATGGTAGGGTGTGCCAATGCTCTTTTTTTTCTTTTTCTTAGTCTATCTGCCTGTCTGATTGTTGTTGTGTGTTACTACACGAAAGATGTGGTGTGTCTCTCCATAAAAGATATAAATCTACTTATAAGAGAAACAGGGCAGACAACCGACAACGACGATGTATGTGTATGCAAACGCGTGTCGATGAGAGGGAACAGAAAAGGGAGGGTACAATGACGCAGAAGCAACGAACGGTTTTGTTTAAATGCGAAAACCTAAAATTCAGAACAGCTACGCAAATGAAAAAGAGAGAGAGAGAGCAAAAAAGTGTATGTGCTCGCCTTTTCTTAATGTGTATGTGTGCTGTCATTCATTCTCTTCTTCTTCTTCTTCTTCTTCTTCAATGCCGTGGTACAACTATACACCGGTCTGACACAAACGGTATGTACACGGAAAATTACTATTATTGCTCGTGACTTGTATGTTGATGATGTTGCTCGTTGCTTGACTGTCAAGTAATGAAAATAGGTAAAAAGTAAAAGAAAAGAGAATTTCATTGAGTACTTTATTGATGTTCGACAAGCCACGTGACTTACATAAAGTGTATGTGTACGTTTAACAAAAGAAAAAAAAAGAAACTAAGCAATGAAAAATGTGCAAGTAATCGAGATATATATATATATACAATAGATGTGCTGCTTGTTCGTCAATTTGTCTGCTTCATTCACATACATACAAGTACAATGCACACGTCAACATCAAAACGCAAATAGATGAAGAAAAAAAATATATAGAAACAATTCGTTTGCTCTCTCTCTCTCTCTCTCTCTCTCTCTCTTTTCTCAATAGTTTGTCTGCTTTCTTACATTCATCTATTCTTTGTCTTACTCTTGCGATTAGAAGTCAGTACTTCTACTATTACTACGACTAGCATTGCACACACATACACTATTCAACATGATCATTATCATCAGTTAGACAAGCAGTGAACGAGACTAGCGTGCAAGCGCGTTTTTGTTTCGCAAGAAAAAGGGGAATTGCCCTTCTTGACGTTGACGTTGTCGTCGTCTCTTCTGCTATTGAGCATTTTACTTGTTCTTGTCTCTGTGTTGTGTGTGTGGCGGGCAGATACTGTTTCCGGTTAATTGCGGCGGTCGTCGTCGATTTTTTCCTTCTTCTTTTCACGCACACTCACACATGCCGCTCATTTTCTTTTTCCCTTATTTTATTGCCAAAAAAGAAAGAAGAATAACGAGAAATATTTTTATTCTTTATATATATATATATATACGTATTAATTTTAATTCTTTCTACATTTTTTTTCTATTTCTTATGTCATAACTCATCTTTTCCTCTTTTTTTTTACTTCAATCTTATTTGTTGCATACCTTTTCTTTTTTCTAATAAAAAACGTTTTTCTATTTCCTTTCTTCTTTTTCTTCTTTTTTTTTGTTTTACACACGCAAACTAACTCAACTCTTCATCAAATGTCATCACATTTATAAGAAAGAAACTTTAGTTAGGGATTCTAGAAGAAAATCAACACACACACACATACACTCAGGCAACAAAATCAAATTAAGAGACATACACACAGTTTATATGAATGTATGCATGCATGTATAGAGAAGAAAAGTGTCAATAATGGATGTTGAACGTCGACGAACGTACAACGATGGCAAGCGGGCACAACCTTGTATGAGTGTTCGTTTTTCTCTCCCTGTCTCTCTCTCTCTCTTTATCCTTCTCATGCCACTATTACTGACCGATGAGAGTGAGAGAGAGAATAATGTATATGCTGTTTTATTTCTAGATGTGATGTTCACACGACGAATGCTCTATGCAGCAACAAAAAACGAAGAAAGATTCATCTTTCATTCCCGGTGGTCGTGTGTATTGTATGTGCACTTCTTGTTCATTCATTGATCAGCAATAACAACGACCATGAGTAACAATAATAAAGAAACTATGACAAAAAAACAACAAGATGACCTTACTTCATCATTTAATAGTAAAGAAAAAAACAACTTTTTTTTTAATTAGAACTTATTTGTCTATCAAATAAAAAAAAAAACAAACTTATTGTTTAGATCTTCCCTGGGGACTCCCATTGGGTTTTCCATCATTATCACCATTTGGTGCATTTCCAACATTTGGTTTACCAACACCAAATTTTTCTCCATTGAACAGTTTTGCATCATCATCAACGACTGCTTTTCCTCCTCCACCTTCACTTCTATCGAATGATTCTACAAATCCATCAACATCAACTGATATATGGTCAAATGGTTTATCAACTACAAATAATCCAATTGATTATAACGAATATGCTAAACAACTAGGTTTTCTTATGAATGCATTTACTGAACAACAACAACAACAACAACAACAACAACAACAAGAAGCAGATAAAACAAAAGGTATAAAAAGATTTTGTTTGTTTTTTTTTCGAAGATCAAAAATAATTTTTTTTTCAAAGCTTCACCTACAATAAAACATTCAAAATCTAAACAATCTCATACATCGTCACCTGATGTTATTAATGGTAAAAAACATGATGATTCACGTCGTTCATCATCCTCAACAAAATCTTCATCACGTTCAAAATCATCATTAAATCCAACTTCTAATCTATCATCTTCAAGTAAAACATCTACAACAACAGATTCTACTATGCTTGATCCATTAGCATTTGCTGCTGCAGCAGCTGCTGCAAGTGGTGGTCTAACATTTCCTTATTTTCTTCCATCATTACTTTCACAAACACCTTCGACAACTAATAATAATAATAATCCTTCAACATATCCATTTTCAAGTTTAGCAACATCATTAACAAATCCAACGGCTGGACTTTATCCATTTTTATCACCTGATTGGTTTACATCAGCAACAACATCAGCGTCATCATCACCATCTATTGGAAATATAACTCCTGGTAAATAAAATAAGAAGGAAACAAACTAATCATTGAACATTTTATGTTTGTTTCTTTTTTTTTTAAGATTTAAAACAATCAAAAAAACGTTCGAAATCAATTCGAACATTAACTGAAGAACAAGATAAAAATTCTTCAAGTCTTCTTCATTTAGCATTAGTAAGCTTCACACCTTTCGTTTAAATACAATAGTAGACAAAAATCTTCCACTATACTATCTCAGTCACTATATATGCTGAAGATTTTAAAATAAGTGTGTATATATTCTGTTAACAAAGGAACATTTTCATTTGGTCAATCACTTTTAAATTCAAATTTTGTGTATAAGGTAGAATGTAGTAAGATATTAGTTAGAACTATGTGTCATTAGAATGCTTTGAAAAATTCTCTTAATAGAATCATTAATTTGACGAAAGTTGTTAAAGTTGTCTGTGTTTTGGGACTTGAATATTTAGGGAAGAAAATATTCTCGTGAACTGAAACTGTCAAGACAGTCTATTGGCAAATAGACCTATCTATGGGCAAAATTTTAGATTGAAATATCGTCCTTCAGTTTGTTGATATTTATTATACCCGAGGCTAAACTTACAGTAAAATATCTATAACTCTAGACACAAAAGCCTAAGGATACTTATACTTTTGAAGTTTTTCATATCTCATTAGGCTCTATCTTATAAACTGAGTTTGAATTCAAAAACGATTGATAGGTTGAAAATGTTCTTTTGCAAAAGTGTAAGTCTAAGACACCGAAATTAAATAATCTGTTTGAATCGAACAAGAATTATGATTGATGATAATGGATCGTGTCTAACTATTCTCTTTGGCTTCATAAGTGTGAGAAAGAAGAACTGTTTGGGTCAGTTTATTCCTCATTGTTCAGTGTATTGTTTGGGTTCTCTATCGTATTAATTGTATTAGAGTTCATAAATCCTTCCTAGGATTGTGTCTATTTGCTCACATAACTCGACTATGGAAAATGTCTCTGCCGGCTGTTTGAAGATCATAGCTCAATAATAGCTCAGACGATTCGAAAACAGTATACAAAGGCATGCAAAGACAGCATACTTCAATTAAATTACCTGATTTTATGAATAAAAAAGAGGATATAGACTTAATCATGTACTGCATAACAGACAGTAGTTGATAATCGTTTTCAGGCTAAAATTTTGAAGAAAAAATGGGCGTCCTTCATTATTATTATAGACTTTCAGCATGTATCGTAGCAGAGATACGAGATGGTGAAAGACTTTTGCCAATTATTGTAAATGAAACATTTGATTTAGTCTGATCCAACAAATACAAATGGTTTACGTATGAGTCGTCGTAATAGTACAAATGATACAACTGTTGATGATTCACGATCAAATGATGATGGTAGAATAAACACTAATACAAAATTTTCTATTAATTTGAAAAGAAAAATTATTTTAGATGATTCAGATCCAAATCCAAAACGTAAAAAACCTGACGAAGTTAATGAAACACTTGTACGAATACCATTAAGTCGCGGGTATTTATGGTTTTTTAAACTTGTTTTGTTTTTTTTTCGATAAAAATTTTTTATTTTAGATGGAAACGTGTAACAATTGTTCGAGCAATAACACGAACAGGTGTACGTGGTGATGTTTCATATTATGCACCATGTGGAAGAAAATTACGTTCATTTCAAGAAATTGATCGAGTAAAAAAAAAAGGAAAAAAGATTTTCATATTCAAATTTTTGAAACTTGGTTTTCTTTTATTGTTTAGTATTTATCAAAAAAGAATATCACAGATTTGGATCGATCACATTTTACATTCAGTTCAAAAGTTCATATAGGATTTTTTCATGAACCAAAAGAAGGTCCAGACGGAAAAGTAAGTAGAAAGTTTTATAAATTATACGTATGTATTTTGTTTTATTTTGTTTATAGACTATATTTCATGAATCAACTGAAGATGAAATTGTTAATCGTATTTTGGAAATTAACCCTAAATTTCGTCGAATTGAAACAAGTTCAAGTCCTTGTTTAACATCAAGTAATGGTACAAATGAGCATCATGATGATCATAGAAAACTTCGTTTAGAACAAGAAGGTTTGACTTTTTCTTCTTGTTATTATTATAATTAGAAAGAAATTTACTTTTTTTCTTTATAATAGAAATATCTAAACGAGCAGCTGAAATAAAAACAAAACGTGATGCTATGCGTTTAACACGTAATATATCAAATGAAAGTACAAAAACGCCAGAAACACAATATCAACATAATGATTTTATTAAAGCAATTATTGAACAACAAAAATTAGTTCAACAACAAGAACTTGAACATAAACAAAAATTACAACAAGAACAACAAGTATGTGTTATTTATTTCAATGTTAATGTTTTTAATCTATTCGTATATAAAATCTTTGTCCTTGATTTTTATGACAGGAGTTAAATAGCATATCGAGATTGATCACTTGGCATTTTTATTAATAGATTAGTATTGATTATTAAAGTATAAAATTGAGAAATAAATGACTCGAAAATTTCTTGGAAGTCTGATATAGTCTTTTTTTTACTGTTAGACATAATTGTTTTCTATTTAAAATTATCAACGACATTGTCTCATATGTTACTTTCTAATATGATGATCGATATTTTTTGATAAAATGCCTTGAGAAAGATGAATTTCCCTGATGAAAATTGTGTGTGATCATAGCTTAATAAACAAATTTTGTCATGTAAAATGTTGCTTTTTACTCAATATTATTGTCATTTGAGATTGCAGTGACACTGGAAAAGTTGTATTTTGGATATGATATTTCGTCTGCATAGAGAATTCAATTAAAGTAGCTGAATTTTTCATTGAAGTTAATTGAGTTGATCTCTTGAAGTGAATAATGATTTATAGAAAAATTTGCAAAAGCAATTTTCCTACGCAACTAATGTTCTATATGGAAAGTCCATGACGAATTCGAAATCTTAGTGGAAGAGTTTCATGAATCGAAACCAAAATAGACTTGTTATCTACTTACTGCATTTTCTTCAATGACCGTTGTTTCGAGCGAAAAGCCGATTTTACCTTTGAGCAGATTCCTTTGCATGAATATGATGAAATTTTAAGTAACTAGTTTATTTTGTATAGATGTTTTAAGACAAATGACAATTATATTTGTATTCTAGGAACAAGAACGTAAACGTCAAGAACTTGCATATTTAAAACAACTTGAATTAAAAAAACGTCAAGAAGAAAAACTTCTATTAATCGAACAACGTAAAGCAGAAAAGAATGCACAACGTGAAAAGAAAATTGTATGTGTTTATTTTTTGTTTTATTAGTTTTTATTATTTCAATAATTATTGATTATTATATTATTGTTTGTTTTTGTTTATAGCAAGAAAAATATATGGAAATAGTCCTTGCAAAAGAAATGAAACGCATTACTGAAGATATGCAATTAAGAGATCTAAAGGTAAAGTGTTAGCAATTTGCAAACTTGAGCAAAACATTTTGTTTTTATTTCTCATGATTGGATAAAGCTTGTTGAGCTACTTCTAAATAATGTTGTGTTCGTTCTTGAGAAAATTGGTTTTTTTTCTAATATGATAGTAAACAATCATAGATACAAGTTCTGATTCAGAGATTTTGATTGCATATAAATAATAAACATTGGTAGATACTCGACTTTCAGACCGTTTATTGACTCTGTATGATACAATATTATATAGTATTAGACTAGAGAATTATCCGAAGTTACGCTCCTTCGATTGTTGAAAACTGTAAGTCAATAACTGTTATCATTGTCGAATTATTGAGCTTACATACCCTTCTCGTTAATTCTAATGCAGACACTAGGATGAAAGCGGATATGAATTCTATTTAACTATACCAAAGAAAAATAAACTTTCTTTTTAGCCACTTCCAATATTAAAACCAGTTGAAAATATGCGCTTATCAATTGAAGCATTTGCCAATTGTTTAATGATTATTGAATTTCTTAATAATTTTAAACATATTCTTAATATTCGTATGTTGTTTTTAATAATAACAAACACAAAATATCAAAAATTTAATATGTTTGTTTGTTTATTTTTTTCGTACTTTAGCTGATAATTTAATTCCAACATTAAATAGTTTACAACAATCATTATTAAATTCTTCATCATCAAGAGATTTAAATTCACTTTGTCAAATATTACTTCGTATTGCATTAGAAGATCCTGGCATTCCAAATCCGAAAAAAGCTTTAACTAATCTTGGACAAAAATTATCTGAAATTGATATAACTGAACATACATTTAGTGAAATTTTACGCATATATATACGAGAACGAAATGGTTTTGATGATAAATTAAGTCAAAGTTTATCGGATACATCATTTCAAGTATTAATATGTGATGAAAAAGCTGAAATTTTAGCTTTTCTATGTAATGATTTATCAACGAATAAACGTGTTGTTGAGTAAGCATTGATTTTTTTTTTTTTTGTTATTTAATTTTATATTTAAATATGAAATATTTCTAGTGAAATTGATCGTAATCTTGAAGAATTAATTAGTTTAAAACATGAAAAATGGGAAATTGAAAAACGTTTACGTCGTTTAAAGTTTGAAAAATATAATAATACAAATAGTAATTCGAATGTAAAGAAAATGGCAACATTATTACGAGAAAAAGATTTGAACAGTTCAGACAATGAAAGTCCAGATGATAGTGATGGTGGTATGTTCATCTTTATTTATTTATTTTTTGAAAAAAAAAAATTTTTTTTGTTTTTGGCTTTCTTATTAAAGAATCTATGAAAAATGATGAAGAAACATCAATAACAAATGATCCAGCAACAATAACAGCTGATGATCAAGATATTGAAACACTTGATGAAACAAAAATAGACGATATTGATAAACGTTTAGTACTTGTTACAAGAAAATATATTCTTATTAAACGTCGTGTTATTGATAAACAATGTCATATACGTGCATTACATCTTGGACAAGATCGTTATCGTCGTCGTTATTGGTATTTTTCACATTTACCTGGAATTTATATTGAAGGTCTAACGTCAGGTGATATATCATCAGATGATATACAAAATATTATTGAAAATGTAACTAAACAAAAACATGAGAATAAATCATCTATGATAAGTAATGAATGTAATTCATCATCACGTTCAACACAACGTAAAAAACAACAAATACGTTTAGCAAATGTAACATCACCACCGCCATCATCATCATCCCAACAACCGCAACCATTATCATCAACAACAAATTCCACTATTGAACAATCGCCTATAATTGAATCAAATAAAATTAAAAATGAAAATAGTGATAATGAAGATGACCAACAACAAATAAATACAACGAATAATATTACAGAAGATCTTGCTACTATGGATCTATCCGCTTTTTGTATGGCTGTTAAAAGAGACAATGATGTACAACAAATTGTAACAATCAATGAAGAAAAACCTATTACAAATGGGTATGTTTTGTATTTTGAATATTACAAAAAAAAATCTCTGTATAGTCGGCAGTCTATAGTTCGTAGTAAGAGAATTTTGTTAGAAAGAAGTCTCAAATATGAGCATATCCTTATCGGTAGTAATGGGCGTTGATTTCTAATCTCCTGAGTAATAACAGCCTTTTTAATGTCAGCAACATATGTTCTGTCATTTATCTGTGCAGAACGAGAAAATAATGATCTTATATCTATTGCATTATGATAAACAATCAGAGAATATAAATAAAAAGAGAAGACTAGTTGTATACATTTTCAAAGAAAAACTGGAAACAATATTAGATAAGAGCAACAACACTTGGTATAACTAGTACTATCAAATCATGTCAACACTTTTTAGAAAGAGAGAGATAATTATCTTGTGGAATCGAAAAGTGATTGCAAAAATAGAAACTGGAAAACGTTTCAAAAATGTGCACTTTTGATTGATGCCAATGGTATCTACATTAAAGAATTTTTACTGTTTTATTGAAATTTCTTCTTCTCGATATATTCTATTCTATAGTCAAAAAGAAAACTTTAGATATCTTTGAAATTTTATAAAATGAATAGTTTGCTATAGAAAGTTCTTTTAATTTTTAGAACATCAAATAATGTTGAAATAAAACATGAACCGAGTGATGAATTAAATTCAAAACGTGTTGTTAATGAAATAAATGATGATAATCTTCCACTTGATCTTTCATGTTCAAAATCAAAACGTACATGTCAAGATGATTATTGGACATCACAACATACACAAGCTGTATATCCATTAACATCTTCTATAGATCAATTTCAAGAATTAAATGATCTTGCTACAACCGCTATGTTAATAAATAATATAAAACAAGAACAAACAAATACAAATCTATCAAAAAATATTCTTGATTTAACAAATGTTAATTTACAAAATATTATTTCGAATCAATTAATGTCAACATTTAATTTATCAACACCAATTAAACAAGAATCATCAATGACTAATTTTAAACAAATCGAACAATCAATTCGAGAGAAATTTCAATATCCACAACCGTTACCAATTCCTGATGGTAAGTGTTTCTAATAAGAATTTTCAAATGTAATTGTTAGCAAAATTTCTCTTGAAAGTTTGAGAGGGAGAGCTTTCAACTGTTTGATCGTTTGAGTTGAGATTATGTAAAACTTATAGACTAATAAGTGATGAATATTCTGAATAGAGTTTGAACCTTAAGTTTCTTGTTGCTGAAATGTTGCATTTAAAATCGTATTGGTAAATAGAATTTTGTAGAACCTTTCCAAAATAGTGAAATCAGTTGAGAGATTTCCTTCAGAAATTGGCATTATAAAATTCAATATGAATTATATGAGTTTAGTTTGATAGACTAAGACTTCTTTAATGTTAACAGTCATTCTACAATGAGAATCATGGGCACAGTTGATTTCTATGCGAAGCAGTGTTTTACACAGCATGAAACCAATACCGTTCCGAATATTGAGTTTGTGCTGATTGTACTCCACACTATGTATCTATGTTTCCAAGATTAGATATTCTTTCTCCTGGGGTTTTAAATTTGCCTTCCGAAAGAGAAAGTCTATATTGAACACTAACAGGAAATGCTTGTCACATCATGCTAAAGTCGCTTTAGGTTATAAATTTTATGAAAACATATTCAATACGAACTCGACTGTTTGCTCTTTATATGCATTGTGTCTTATAGATTTCGAATTATTTTTTTAGTTATATCATATCTAATGAATATTCGATATAGAGTCGATTGTTAATTTCGTACAAATAGCATAAAAAATAATAATTGTTTTTTGTTATTTAGATGTTCAATCTGGTTGGTGGTTAATTCAAACACCTGAAGAATTACGTACTCTAATAAAATCATTAGCTAAACGTGGTCAACGTGAACGATATTTATGTCGAATGCTTCAACGTTATTTTGATGCTATAACAAATTCAATGTTAGATATAAAGACTGAGAATTCATTAATATCAATAGAAAATGAAAATGAAAGTGAAAATGATGAACAACAACAACAACAGCAACAACAGCAACAACAAACATCAAATGATTTTATTGAAAATGATAATCAAAATTTTGATGATACACATGAAATGGATGTATTAAATGAAATATATAATTTATCTGATCGTATTATAGCATCAAGTTTACAATGTCGTTCATATGATATAAATACAAATCGTAAACGTTTAACATATACTGATATTCAAGCTAAAGGTTCGGATATTCTTGATGAAGCTAAACATTTATTAACTGATATTGAACGTAATATTGAACGACGTTATTTAAAATATCCATTTGCACGTAAATATGAATTGAATTTATCATCATTAAATCGTATTAATCAACATAGTACATATCATCATACATTAGAAAATTCAACAAATGAAATTGTTTCATCATCAAAATATGATGAAGTACCACAACAACTTGAACGTTGGAGACGTACTGTTAATGAATCACGTACACCAGCACAATTAGCATTATGTTTAACACAACTAGAACGTTGTATTGCATGGGAACGATCAATAATGAGAGTTTATTGTGAAATATGTAATTCAGATGTTGATGAAGAAAAATTATTATTATGTGATGGTTGTGATCGTGGTACACATACATATTGTTTTATACCACCTATGTCATTTATACCACCAAATGATTGGTAGAATAAGAAAATAAAAATAAAAAAATATTTTTGTAAAAACAAAATAAACAATTTTGGTTTTGTTTGTATTTTAGGTATTGTTATGTTTGTATTGGTAAAGCAAAAGGTGAAAACTTATGTTTTGTTTGTGGTAATAAAGGTGATAATCAATTAAATCGATGTGAACATTGTGGAAAATTATTTCATGAAGAATGTTTAAAAAATGCTAAACAACAACGTGGAAAATGGTTATGTGTATTATGTGCAGCTAATGATAGTAGTGCTTTAATAGCAACATTAAGTGCTGGAAATAATAATACGAAATGGGTAAATTTAATTTTTATATTACGAAAAAATTTATTTTAAGAATATTGATTCTAAAGATTAACTCATTTTAAGTTTATTTGCAAAAAAAGTTGCATAGATAAAGAAAATTTGTCTAGATGTGAATTTGAATGATAAAATGTTTGTTCCATAAGTAAAGAGAGCAGGAGTGTGTAAGCGAGAGCTCGTCGGGTTGGTCCGAAACCTTTGGACCAAACTAGTCACAGTATAAGCTTAATAACTTGACAGTGGCAATAGCTAGTGACCTGCGATTTTCAACCATCGAAAGAGGAGAACTCTAGACGAGTGTTTTGTATAAAATTATGTAAGAAAGAACTTATTATGGAAATGTATGGAAAAATCAACAGAATTTTATTTGTTCAGTGTTGAGATAGGAGAAGGAAATCAGCATTACATCGAAAAAGAAGATGGATTTCGTGAATTCTGTTTGAATGTTTAGCAAATATTATGAGTTGTAGAATAAATTTTGTCTTATATAGTATCAGATAAAAAGATATTCGGAGTTTTTCTCTTTCGATTGGAAAGAAACTGTAGGTCACTAGCTGTTGCCAGTATCGAATTCAGACTACAACGTTGAATCTTCAATTCTGATGCAGACACTAGTCACTGAACACTTGCATTTAGAATGTGTTTCAATTGAATTTCATATAATGAATTTTTTACTGATTTGAATCTAGAAAATAAAGACTTTTTCTAATCAGACCTTTAGAATTTGTGAACTCATTTAAAATACTTATTGAGTCATACAACTCTATGAACTAAATACTCTATGAGTAAAAGTTTCTTATCATAGATTTTCTTTTGTTTTCATAGCAAATGGGTCGTCAAACATTTCGCTCAACGAATACATCAGCTAATGCAACAAGTAATTCAACATCGAAATCTCGTCAACCGTCAATTAGTTCAACTAGTTCGATAACAAATACCAATGGAGAATCAACAAATAATTCTTCTTCATCTAATCGTAATCGTTCGAATAATAATCGTAAATCAAAACCTCGTAATAGCTCAAATAATACGGAAATTTCCATTTTACAAGAATCTCATTCAAATTCATCTCATACAGACGCAATAACAATGAGTAGTCTTAATGAATCATCATCTATTCAATCACCATCTAATACTGCTGATATTGATGATGATATTCCTTCTCCAACAATGGGTGGTACAACAAATTCAACGAATAATTCAAAGAAAAAAACTTCTCGTAAATCGAAATCAAATGCAGATAATAATGATATAAAAGCTTGCAGGTAAAATAAACTATTCGAGCAACCTCAACAGAATTAGAGTGTGAGACATGATTGATCTGTATATATTAGAAATCAAAATGTTCTGTAACATATACTTTAATTTAAAACTTTCAACATACTGAAATATTATTCGTAAAATAATATTACAGTTGACTAGATAACCTCTTTCAATGTCTTCTTCCTATTTCAATGATTATCACCTATAGATACTGCATCGTTTTCGACTAAAAACTCTGCAAATATTTGGATTTTTATTTATATGGGACTAAATCATCGAATTTTTTTCTAACATTCGCAAGTTTTTTGGAAAACTCATATTTTCGAATTTTGATCTGAAACTTGGCGCATATAAAGAACTCAGCTAAACTAGCTTACATCAAAAAATTCATGCTCTGTACACTATCCATAAAAAAGGGTCTATATCTTGAAAGTTTCATATTTCTATGAGATTTTGTTCAAAACTTCTGAACTTTTTTGTGTAAGCTAATCTAATAAAGACTTCTGTGTGAGCAAAGTTTTTGACAAAAAAAACAATAGCTTAGTCAAACTTCGACAGGAATCTAAATTCTTCTAAAGTTTTTATTAGAACACTATGTAGTATGCATAGGTAAAAAAGAAATCATTGAAATTGGAATCCATCCAGAAGGTTGTCGGATCCAAAATTTTCAGATTCGGACTCGATCGAGTCCGAGAGAAATTCGGCCGGCTCTAATCATCAGTCATGAAATGACCCTAGAGCAGTTCTTAAACAACTGTCTGTCTTCGATCACCTATCTGATAGCATAGTGACTTGGCAATTGCATATATCTGCCCTTGTAACTAGCTAGTCAATGTATTGAGAACTTCAGCAAGCGAGCGATGGAAATTGTTGTTAGACGGGCTTTCTGTCCACAACTGCAGCTAGCGTTAAGTGTAGGGAAGAAATCGAGCTATTGAATCTGCTGCTAGGTAGCCGATAGGCATGGATCTTCTTCGAACGATGTCTACCGTGTTCTTGGAGCGTTCTAATTTCTATCTTTACACTTTAACATTCTAGCCAGATTGTATTTCACAAAATAAAATTAATTCTAATAAACCAGAAATAAATTTATGATCTTCTTTTCTTTTCTTAGAATAATTTTGAATGAATTATTAAAAAATGATGCATCATGGCCATTTCAAACACCAGTTGATGCAAAACAACATCCTGAATATTATGAATGTATAAAAACTCCAATGGATTTTTCTACAATGAAAAAGAAAATGCGTAATCATCAATATACAAAACGTGATGAATTTTTTAATGATGTACAATTAATATTAAATAATTGTGAATATTATAATGAAGATGATAGTCCAGTTGGTGAAGCTGGTCATGTTTTACGAACATTTTTTGAAACACGATGGGCTAAACAATTTGGTTAAATTTCTTTTTCTTTTCTTCTTTTTTTTTTGCTCCCCCTGCTTATGTGCCATTGTACATACGACAAATTGTTTTGTTGAATCTCTTTCTTTGGCCAGAATGAAAAAAAAAACAAAAAAAAAAGAGGATTATTGTATTGTGTCTATGTCTCAGATAAAACTAGTTTATGCGTTTTTCTTTTTTTTTCTTCGCGAGGTCAAGTAAAACCAATCAATGATGATGTTTCTTTTTTTTTTCTTCTCTCATTTATTGTTGTTTTTTTTTTTCTTTTGTCACTACACAGTATTTTGTTGTATATCATCATCTATCTTGTCAGATCGTCAATGTTTTGTTCGTCTGTGTGTCTAGTTGAACAAAAAATAATAATAATAATAACTGTGTGGTGGACAAATGACGAAATGAAATATATAAATCATTTATTTATAATTGAAAAAAAATCAATTTTATTGTTGTTTTTGAATGATAAGAGAGAGAGAAATTCAATAACTATTTCTATCAATGTTAACTGATAATGTTTGATAAAAAGTAATAATATGAATAGACCGTAACAATAGAACAACAAAGAAATGTTTCAATTCAAATATAGGATAAGTACAAGTATAGTACTTGTATTGAAGTACGAGAAAAAAAGTACTTTTACTTGAACAATAAGTGAAATAAATGTTCCCGATAAGGTTGATTATTTCTAATACATTTTTAAAGACCATCATGACATTATGCGATCAATAATAGTAAATGACAATGAGCATGTTGTAATGAAAAATTTTTACGTTTAATATACTGAGAAAAATCACTGACGATTACTTGTGAAAATCATCTATTTTTATTGTTCAAATTTCTTTAAAATGATGATGAATGTTTCCCAGTGATGATTGAAATAGTTCTTTTTAACATAAATGTGATTTTTTTCAAAGCGATTGTTTGCATATTCGACCGAGAATTTTGACTAGAATATCCATGACTTCTGAATAACTAAATCTAAAATTTTTTGAGATTTGCATAGTTTTGTAGATCGTCTATCGATGGTTCGAATGCACATTTGATAATTGAAAATCTACTACAATCATCTGATAGGGTACGTTGTCTTTTAAAAAGTTTTTGGATGAGTATTTTCAAAAACGATGTTGACCTTTGGCGCTTCTTTTAGTAGGCTTTTCTAGTTCTTCCGATGAAAAAAACAATGGAAATTGACAAATTCAGAATTTTGTTCAGGAAAGTATTTGACAGAGCTCAAAGCTTTTATATTGGTAGACTTTAAAATCTGTCATACAGTCGGAAAGTTGCGGCTCTCTAACCTGCTCTTCTTCCGACTTATAACACTTTCTAGTCGGGTTAATGAGTAGGGATGAAGGATCTGCTGTTCAGATAGACGCACTCATCCACAAGATAGAATGACAAGGAATAGCAAAATATCCTTGAGTATAGTGAAAGTAAAGAAGCATGAGCAAAACGAAATTCTATCATATCGTAGATTTCATAAAGAATTGTTGTTCTAAATAGAAAGTGCCATAATTCGGTAGGAAAATGAACTAGCAAGCTGAAACTATCAGACAACATGATAGACCTTAAAGATTACTAACACAAAAGGTTTCAGTCTTCTATGACTTTCTTTGACTACATTTTGAATTTTTTTATTTTCCTCGTTTTTCACTGAAAAAATTAGAAAACCTACGTAGCTTTTGAAGGAAGCACCAATATCCGATATTCTTTTCTGCTAGTTTGATACGTTTCGCTCGATTGACTAATAATCGAACGAAACTTAATGGTACCAACTAAATGTGTTTTCTCGTAAGTACAATAAAAAATATTTACACCTTCTGCATATGTATAATTTCACATTAACTTGAAAAATATGTAAAGACCAAGTACAAATACTTTCGTTTTAACTTTGTTTCAATCTTATAAAAAGTTGACGAGCTACTACGATTTATTGAGTTTACTTAAAACGACTTGATTCATCTATCTATTGACTATTAAACACTGAAAGAGAGTGGTAATCTTGAACAGTTTATCGTCTTTCTCAAGGAGAAATATTGTCAACTTTTTCGATCAAAGAAGTTTCCATGTAAAATAAAAGTTATCGTTTGATAAACGAAATACTCCATTTTGTTCAGAATTCGATAGTATTTCTAAATATATTTATGAATAAGAACAGAATAAACTGTTAAATAGTTCAAAAACAGATACAAAAATTCAATGACGTTACTCTTAAAATCTGCGCACTGGATAGAGCTCTTTGATTTTTCTCTGAAAGTTTTATTTCTGTTACGAAGATTAGGAATATAAGCGAATTTCATTATGGATTTTCATGAAAAATATAGATGGTTTGTAAACGCATTATGTTCGTTCGTAGACATCTAATATTATACAAGAAAAACAGTTTTTAAAAGTAAACGTCGTTAGATTAGATAATGTCAGTATTGATTAAATATTATCTGTAAACAACATGAGACTTCGTTTTTGCTTCTAACAAACTGTTATCTGTCTATTCTATTCGTCTCAATTATCAATGTCGAATGAAATAATTAACTGAAATTTCAATTATATGCTTTAATGTCTGCAGTTGTTTGTGCATGCATGAGAGATTGACCAAATACATTTCGTCAACACCGGAGGTAGATGATTGAAAAATAAATAAAAGAACTTTTACTAAGAATGAAAACATATTGAGGACAGATTTTGTTTGAATGCTCAAATTCAATTTTTGTTGACTTTACTCACAGTATAGCGACAATACAGAAGTCACAAGAAGCTCCACTACTGGGTAAAAAGTGTCTAAACTTCAATCCATATGCCTGATGTTTTGACTACAAATATAATTCGGTAAACTCTAATCGCAAGCATCAATCCGAGGTCGATAGATCTTGGTACAAAAGATTTAAGATGAAAAAACAGTTGCTTTTGTCTTAGGATCCAGAAAGAGCTTTATTGGCAGTTACACTACTTAAATGCCTTAACTTCCATTGTCTTATTAACAAATACTGATTTCCATGTTTATATTGTGTCATTGATAGGGTATTTCAATAGGTTATAACCTTAAAACGCTAAAAAGCCTCTATCATTTGGGACGATCTCAAAATGGATATCTTCTCCATCGATGGCTGCAATGGTGAAATTTTGAGAGAAAACTTGATTGAAGCAGAGTACTCACTGAACTAATAGTTGAAATTAGTCGAATAAGTCGGTACTTTCAGGCTATTCTCATCGATTCTCATGTGGGAATTATTCAAATACTACTTCAGAAGTCGGGTAAACTAAAACCGTTTGACACAAAGTATTTATTGGTGATGGAGATAGCACTGAGCTGTCGAATGAGGAATCTAACATCATAAGATTTGTTTTTTATGCTGAGGTAGCCTCATCTGAAGAAAACGTATATGCTAACCTTCTAGTTCTTCGCATGAAGGTCGATCAAATCCTTGCAATCAAAGTACAACACTCTCTATCTATATTCAAACTATGAAAGTACAAAAATAATTAAAGTTTATGTACTTTTTACATGGAAGCGAAGCTTTTTTGCAACTACCGTAGATTGCTGGTTGGAAAATAACTATGGGTATATCCAGGGAAAATGACGGTCAGATGATAGTTGACCGTTTAAGTATCAAAAGACCACCGATCTTTGTCAAGTGTAAGTCACATAGTTATACCATAAATTCGTGATATGTTGCTATTACTATTATTTATTCGGTTAATTCTGAATTGATATTAAATTTTTGTGTACGTTAATACCTTTCCATATGATTAATCTAACACACTACTGATTCCGGGATAGCATCATCAACATTTTGAATATCAATTCTTTATTTAATCAATAATTTGTTTTGTTATGACTAAGAAATACAAAAATCTTAATTAAATATTTTATTTGATTATCATTATCAGAGATCTACAGAGCTGTCTTGCACTGCAACATATACTATTAGGAAATTTCATGGATCAAGTCAGATTTGAAGAATATCGAACAAATAATTTCACACTTTCAAAATATTGGGCAATGTCAGACAGCTTTGCAGATCTCTAATGATTGTTTTCAATGTGTTATAATACAACTAATGTCTTTTCGTTTAATTTCAATTAATCGAAATAATTGAGCTTGATTTTTATCTTTAGTACATGAACATAAATGTGATGAATTATGATTAACATAATAAAATCCAGTTGATGAGCGTGTTTGTAAAATAAACGTTGAATTTGTTTGTATACATTTTGATGTATTATCAATTTGAATTATTTTTAAATATCGATTAACTTGTTCCATTCCATATTTCATACGAAAATATTTCGCATCAGATAAATAAAATTCTGATTGATTACCATCAAGTAATATAATATATTGTTCTGATCTTAAACATCGATGTCGACGTGGTGTACCATTATTTGTTAAAATAAAAATTGAACCTGTATCATTGGTTGAATTTCCTATTTGAATATTACGATCAACAATCATGACAGGTAAATTTGTATCCACTGTTACAAAACTCACATAAGTAAGAACACCTGATGGTTGTTCAGGCCAATTTTTTTTACTTAAATTAAAAAAACCCCATATTGGATAGTGATCTGAGAGTTCCATTAATGGAATATTACGTGTATTATAAAACATTCGATTTTTACCTAGTAAATGCCATTGTTCTGATGCCATTGGATCCATGATAATATTATACCATAGAGAGTTATTTAATGTATGATCTTTATGTATTAGTATATAATCTAATAATTGATTTTCTTGATGTTTTGAATGAGTCATTGCATTAAATGAACTATCCCAAGTACATTGAATACTTGATGGATATAAATGTTGTTCTTTAACACGTAATATATCAATCATTGCTTCATATTGTTCAATATTATATTTATCGATATTAAAATCACCAAGAAAAAATATAAGTTCATTTTTTGATATATTTCGTGCATCAATAAAACCTGTTATTTCATACATTTGTTTTTCACGTGTTTTTTCTTCACTTGATAGATAACAACCACTATGATCACTTGGTTGTAAATGTGTTCCAATAACATGAATGGGAATTTTATTTTTACCATATAATATTCGTGTATAAATAAAACCAACACGAGCAAATGTATGACCGCTACATGAATGTCTATAAAAATATTGTGCAGTATGAACAATTGGCCATTTACTGAGAATTTTTAAACCACCACTAAGAAATTTTAATGAACTTCGACCTATTTGACGATTCCAAGTTTCGTCCCAATCATCTTGATTTTCTTGATTACCTAATATTGGTGTACTATAAGGATATGTATCCGAAAGAGAATCAAGTAAAATTTGAGTTGGTTTTGGTTCAAATAATTCTTGTAAACAAAGTATGTCACTTGAACGAAGAAATTTTGCTTTTGTTAATAAACGAGCACGAGTTATTTGATCGCGTTCTAAAACAAGTAATCGTGGTATGAACATAACATTATAACTCATTAATGTTATTTGACTAAGTTCATCATCATTGGCTTGACATAGAATTAGAAGAGCAAGTAATAGATATTGTTTCATATTTGAAAATGAGATTTAACAAAACAATGTTCTACTTTTTATTTCTTATCACTTGACATTTAATATGTAATTATTTCTTTCTGTTGAATAGCGACATCGGCCGTTATTTGGATTTTGTTTTTTATTTTGCGTTTTACCTTTCGAATAAAGGTGGACAAAAAAAAAAAAAAAAAAGAAGCAAATTTTGTTTTTATTCGTTATTATTGTAATTGTCTTTTTTCATCAATGGTTGATTTAGAATTAAAGAAATCTCTTCCACTTGATAAATCATACCAAAGAGTAATCGAAGATTTAAATCGATGGCATACCAATACAGTAGCACAACTTAATGAAATGCATGATAATATTCTTTTTGATATGAAAAGAACACTTGACGATGTTCATCATTTTGCTTCATTTACGAATGAACTTTTAATTGAACAAGAAAATCAACTTAAAAAAGCAAAATCCAATGAAGAAATCGATATTATTCAAGAACGAATTAATCAAATTATATCTGAAGTTCAATTTTTACAATGTAAATAGAAAAAAAGAAACACTAACAAACGAAAAATTCTAACAGACTTTTGAATATCTTTATTTTTTTAGTATTATCATTTCGTTTAAATTATGATTCAGTTAAATTCAATGGTAAACTTTCAATAAATTATAATAATAATGAAATAAAATCAAATACTTCATTGATGCCAACATTTCCTTGTTTTTCTACTACATCTCAAAAAATATCTGATTCATTTGAACTTTCAACAAACAATAAACAATCAATTTTATTACATACAAAATATCGTTTTCTTATTTCACGAATTGATGGTATTGAATTAAAAAAAAAATTGCTTCCCGTTTTTCATTTAACTTTTTATAGTAATGAATTAATTAATGAATGTGTTTTAACATTTAATGTATCTAATCTTGATTCATCTCTTAAGACATTTACATTATATTGGAATTTATTTCCAAATCATTATGAAATACGTATGCTTATAACACCAGATAATGCATCATTTTTAATGGATAAATTAAATGAAATATCTTGTTCACTTTTAAAACGTTTTCAATTAAATCAAATAAAAATTTTTTCTAATTCATGTCCAAAATCTGATGAAAGAATTTTATTAATTAATGGAAAACAACGTGATCTTATAAAAGATTGTGTCGAAGAAATTTATTTTAATATTGAAGAAAATAATAAAAAACAATATACAAAACAAAATATAAAGTTATATAATCCAGCGAACTTATCAAATGATGATATTAATGAAATAATCTTATCAAACTTGGACTATGGAGGTTTTATAACAAAGCAAACTACACTAACGTCTGTACATCATTCACAAATGCATGTAACTGAAGATGAAGAGTATATTCTAATAATATTATGTTTGAAAAAATTTGAATTTTTTGTTCATTTTTAGAAGTGATGATGATGATGATGATGACAATGATGATGATGATTTATGGGATGAAAATGATGAATGGTGGAATTTTCGAAATACTCGAGATAATAATACAGACATTATTCAACGTGAAATGATTATTAGTAATAAATATGCTGGTGTTGTTATAGGTAAATTAATTTAATATTGATTCTATACCAAGAAATTCTTTCTAGGTGTTAATGCATCATGTATTGAACGAATAAAACAGAAAACTGGAGCATTTGTTTATATTAATGGTGAAACCAATGATCTTAAACGAACAGTAAAAATTCATAAAATTCTTTCAAATGATCTATTCTATTTTTTGTTTAGGTAATTATGAAAGGTACTCGTGAACAAGTTGATCGAGCATATGCATGTATCGAAAATCTTATTGAAAGATATATAAATGATAAATCATCCATGAAACAACAACATTTACATGGAAAACATAAAGAAAAATAATTTATATTACATTCTCATATACATATATCTAGTCATTTTTCGTTTCATTGTCGTTAATTAGTTAATTATAGTTGACATGTATTAAGTTTTTTGTTTTGAAATAATAATAATAAAACGCTAATTTAATTCAATAAAAAGAAAAAATAAGCTTTCAATAAAACTCAAATCAAAGAAGATCCTTTTTCAAATCACTCATATGTATGTATTCACATGTATTTCTAATTTAATGTGTGATCAAACAATCACCTATTTGATATATAAGTAGATGCACACATTATACTCATTTTTTTCCTTCATACATATTTATTATACATAGTGTTGACCATCACGCTTCTTGACTTTACATTGTATATGTACAAGAACAAAATTACGTAATGAATATGAATATGTATTTGTATTACCTGAATATCTCTCTTTTTTTTTCTATCATTTCTTTCGTCTTCATCGTAAGAGACACCCGAATATTTTTCAAGGAAATAATGAATATTTACTAAATTCAATTATGCTTGCTACTGCTCATCATTCAAATCGTTATACAAAATCAAGAATATATGAAAATGAATGGATAGATAATTCTAATAAACGAATTTCATGGCTGAATTATTTTACAATTCAGACAATTCCAGAAGAAACTGATAATATTGATTGTCCAATACGTAATTATAGTGACAGTGATAGTTCTTCATTATCATCAATGGAAGATTGTTATGTTGTTTTTGAAGTTCAACGACCTCGTTCAACCACTGAAACAAGAAGTATAATAGAAAAGCAATTAAATTTTGCTCAAATAATCGACGATAAGCATCATACGGAATATAATCAAATCGCTCAATCAATTATAAATGAGGTAAAAATTAATCAACATTTGATTTATCGACAAAAGAAAATGATTTATTTAGATACCTTCAAAAGAACATGCAATAGAACATCGAACAGAATCAACAATTTCTACACAACTATCTAACAATATTCTTATTCATAAACCAAACATATTCAATCAATCTTCTTCGATATCGCACAATATTGCAAAATTAAAAACAAATTATAAAACGACAGAACATCGTTCATTATCGTTTTCATCTAAGCCGATAGATGAAAAACAATCAAGATATAATTCTAATTCAATAGAAAGTCTAGATTCAATTGAAAATGATTCACCAGAAAGGCCTCGAATAATTACGACATTTGCTCATTTATCATTACATCGTAAATCAAATCCTATTCAAATACAACAAGAAAAATCATTCAGGGGAAAAACAACCTTAACACGTACGTTTGCATTCGATCATATATGTATGGAAAAATGTGATCGTGTTAATAATGAAAAAATTATCAATGTTGAAGCAAACAATAACGATGAAATGAACCTTCCATTTTATTTGAATAATAAATCAAATACTAATAAGAATTCTTCAATATCAAATGATGTCATGGAAACATCTCCATTGCTTCGTTCACTAAAAAAACGTTCTCGAGCTATAAAATCCGAATATTACTTACCTGAAGACGACATTAAACCTAATGATACTTCAATATTTCAAATGAAATATTTTGATGGAAGACATACAGTAGCAGATCATAATACTCGAGCATCAATTGAAGAATCTCAATTTTTTTCATCTTCAATTTCATCTCGAACGAGTTTATCAAAAATATTTCAACCAGATGATATAACAGCAAATTCATCGCTGCGAAAACGAATATTACATCGTTTTCAAAATTTTTTGAAACCTAATTCAACTGAAAAATCAAGGCCATGGCAACACAAGACGATCTTTGAACTTTTTACTGATAGAAAAAGTAAAACTGATCGTCATTAAAAGAAAAATATTTATTTATTAAATTTTTAACTCTTTTTTTCACATTCATGTGATGATAGAAACAAACATTTTTGTTATTTCATACTTTCAAATTTTGTCAACAATGATAACAATGAAAATCATCATAGGTCATTCATTTTCATTACGGATGATTAAACCATATGAATCTAAATGAAATATGTTCTTTTCAATCTTAGCAATATATAAAAATATTTTTTATTTATATGGTTATCAATAAAAAAAATAAATAATTATTTTATGTTTATCTTTCGAGATAGTGAAAGGCTGATTATCGTAATTTGTTGGAAAACATGGAGCGTGACACCTATAGTGCATCAAGTTCAAAATTTTCGAACGCTGTGCTAACCCGAACAGCTCTGTTTACGCTTCCTTCTGCTTTTGAAAAATGTCTATGCAGTATCTCTGTTTATCTTCAATGCTGATTTTCACTTCTAGAAATTTTCTTTGATTGTATAATGATTAAATTCATTGTCATAAATTGTTTTTGAGTCAATTATTTTTGGTTTATTGTTAATTGTACCGAATGCTCGACCTTTAACTGCAAATTAATAATTCATACTGACACTAATTTAAGGATGTCATGTTTAATCGACATACGCATGTGTTTGAAATGAAACTAATCGAATCTATTCACTATATTCTATTCCTTGCGATCTTGTAATACAACAAGTTCGTGTTACTAATATTGAAAAGTGTATTTTGAATGAAAAATTTTGATGTAATATTTTTACGATTTCATCATTATGACCTCTACCTGAAAACATCGAAAATTTGTACTAATAAATCACATCAAAATGCAGAAAAAGATAATTATATGTATGTATCTGGTTTAATTTTATATTGTGATACAGCTGATTTATTTTTACAATAAGCGAAACTTTATAACACATAAAAAAACTATTAAAGCAAAAATTGATGATTGCACGATTCGGAGAGACGAAGAATATATAATGTGTGTATGACATAGAAAGAAAAAAGAATTACACTTTCTTACATACATCAGTGTGACAAATAAAGCAACTCAAAAAGAAAGTAAAAAATGAATAAATGTAATCTACTATGTTCGCTTTTCAAATACTTGAGTTAAATCGAAAAAAATATCTGATTATTTTAGTGTTGTCAAACAAGTGATATCAAATGCATCGTAAAATAAAAACAAGGAGAATGAGTAATATAAACCATTTCTTTTCAGAAAATCAATGAATCTACTTTAAAATAAATGTCATTTAAGTTGATAAACAATATTCCTTAAATTTTTAAATTGGAATATTTCATAAAACAAAAGAATACTTTTAGAACGTGTTTGTTTTTGTGAAAGACTATCCTATATGAAACCTATCTCTTCGATTATCTTTATACTAAATTAAGCCTATCAGATAGCTCGAAAAACAAATTATTTTATTATTCGAGACTAATCTTTTCATTACTCATGTGATTCAAACCGGACAAAAATCGACGGTAAAGGGTTCGGTATAATTTGTCGGTAGTAGAAAAAAATCGGCAATCAACCGGTAGTAGCTTGATACTTAAATAATTGTTCTTCGACCGGCAATCTACTAACGGTATAATAAATGTAGTGCAAACAAACGGCTAACCTGATTGTACATTCAATCTTTTAGATAATTTTCCTATACACGATTTTCAAGGTTGACAATACATTGGATATTTTATCTTTCGATTTTATATAAATATTAATTACAATAGTGTTGTTTGTCATATATTTCATAGTAAAATACATAAATAATTTATTAAAATGCATGACGAAACATTCAACTTATCAATCAGACTAATGAAGACGTTTTATGTATACAAAAAAAAAAAAAAAAACTTAATTATTAGTATTTTAAATATATTATTCAAATACTCAATCTTCTCTTTAATAATTCTCATGTATTCGTGTATTATATTAAAATTATTTGCATCGATGATAAGCAGTAAATTATTGTTTTTTCTCTTATCAAATAAAAAAAAAGAAAGCAGATAATTTAATTTTCGATTTCAATGAATGCTTATTTATGTCAAAAGAAAAAAAAAACAAAAAGACAAAAAATATGCCAATAACAATGGCATAGACGGGTTTGTGTAAGAAAGATAAGTACAAACAACAGTAAAGGTATAATATTCACAGATATGAGTAGAGAACATAATACAGAAAGAAAAAACAAAGAATATTAATGACTATGTATGAATTTTTCTATCTATTTCATTGTCATTAGTCGATGGCATTAATGAACTTGTTTCTGATGAAGTTTGTTGTCGAATAATTTCATTTATAGATGATATTAAAGGTGGAATATTTGTTACTAAAGAATCACTTGATATTTTAACTTGTTGAGATACTGATTCTTGTAAATTTATTATTTTTGATGTATTTATTAAAGATGCTGTAATTGTTTGATCTAATTCAAATGATATTTTACTATTTGTTAATTCTAAATTTTGAATTTTTTCTTGTAAAGTTTGTTGTTGTTTAATAAAATCCATCAATGCTAAATAAACAAATAAATATTGATCTTCTGTTTGAACACTACCGGCACGTTCTTGTCTCATTTTAACAACAGTTGATGGTATATCAATAATTTTTTCATTTAAATATCGTTTTATACCAATATCAATTGCACAAAATGTACCTGTACGTCCAATACCAGCTGAACAATGAAGAAGAACTGGAGATTTTGTTTTTATTAAATCTTTATAATATTCAACTTTTTCTAAAAATAATAATGCATCTTTTGTTCCACTTGGTATACCATGATCAGGCCATTTAAGATAATGTGCATGATAAATAGTTCGAATTTCTGAATGATTCTTTTTCTTTAATAATAATGTTGTTATTATAAAACTATCATATTGATCAGATTTTTCATTTTGAATTTGATATAAACCACTATTAAGATATTCTTTTGTTCTTAATGGCCAATATGGATAACATTTCATTGTACCGGATTCACGAATATTTGTTGTCATGACTATAATAGATATATTTTCTTGCCATATCATACGCCAAAAATCTTTAACTGTTGCTTGTAATGGTCCTTAAAAATTAAATTTTTGAAATTTTTAAATAATTCAAAATTTTTTGTTCTTTTTTTTTTGGTCTACCTTGAGTAAATATATAAGCTTTTTCTTGATTATTATAACCACTAACATAATTAGCATTGATAAAATCATTTTGATCAGTATTATCTTCTTGAAGTTTAACACGAGTTGATTCACCTGGTAGAACATCACGATAACGAGATTTATCAAGATTTTCTTCGTATCTAAAAGAAAATAAAACGTAATAAAGAGTAATTAAATTTTAAATTAGAAATTTATGTATTACTTTGCAACATGTGTATCCTTTGCTGGTGGATTTAGCATTTTACGAAATTCTTGTCTTATTTCAGAATTTGTTTTAGACAAAAATTCCATTTCATTTAATGGTTTATAACTATTTATTATTGGTGTTCGTTTAGTATTACATTTCAATTCACGATATTCGTTTTCATTCATAATATTTCCTACATTATGATCATTTTTTTGTTTTTGATCCGTATACGAATAATGATAATTTTCATTTCGTTTTAATTGACTAAATAAAAAAAAAAAAAATTTTATTCTATATAAAGATAATAAAACAAAAATCAAGGATATATAAGAAATTAAACATAGTGTATCCGAGTAAGAATCTAATTATAAATTTTACCTTGAACTAGTACACACACTCGAGTGTGTTTTTGTCATTACTGACTTTGTAGAGAATTATGATAATGATAGAGAAAAAATTCTCATACATGTAAAATATTGATAATATAGAATGTCGATTAAAAGGAAGAATCGTTAATAACATTGATGAGAAAGACAATGATGAATATGCTTTATGATCGATGAAATAATATTACATGAAGTTAAACCTTGTCATTGATTATTGTTCATTGTTAAGAGAAAATCATCAGTCAATAGAGAATAGGGGGAAAAAAAAGAAGAGAATACGTGTAACTTGAGGTATAAAATAGAAAAAGAAAGCATAACAAAATATTTAAGATAGTAGAAGAAAATAAAAGACATTTCTTATTTCTTTTTATCTACCTTTCATCTAGCAAAAAGAATGATAAAATAGTATTTATACTAATAACGCTTACCAGAGATAAATAAATAATAATGAAACATCTTCGTCAATTGAGACAAAAAATAATGCGAGGGTTGAGTCTAATTTCATGTATGTGGGTGTGACTGAACTGAAGACTAATTAGTCTCACATTTATACCTCAATGTCTCTTTCACTTGGACCCTTCCTATTGACCGAACCATCACGGAAAACTACTCATTAGAATATCATTTTGTTAAAAAGTGTTTGTTCTTTGTTTTATTCTATTTGTAATTAATGCTGCTTCTACCTTGAATGACTTTTTTTTGCTCACTGAAACTCATCGAAACTTTATTTTCGAAACTATTATGAATGAATTACTTATAGTTTCTAATCTACATTTACCTCCACAAAATTCCGAACATCGATTCAGAAACAGCATAAAAATTTTGATTCGAAATTTTTTGCTAACATCCGGTAATCAGTTGAACAATGAAGAAACATATTGTTGAGAAACTTTCGCAACACTCATTATAAAAAGACGATCATGGAATAAATTAAAATTAAAAATTCAATTTCTTCTAAGGAAAATATAAATTCATACCATAACATTGTGAATTGATTTTGTTTTAAATGCAGCTGTCGTATAAAATATTCATACATCGACAAAGAACGATATTTCAAGTCTGCTGATAAGTTTGTCGATTAGTTCACAGGTGATCTCTTTTTTTTTTCTTTCTATTCTTTGTTATTTTTCTTAGTAAACACGTGAATCAAAAGTTAAAAATTGATAATAATGATTTTTTTTGCTCTCTTTTTATAAAGAAAAACAAAAATCCATGAAATACTTACTCATCAAAATTTTCTTTTCGTGATAATGATGATAAATTCATTGTAAGTGATTCTTCTT